CAGTGGAGGTTTGTGCAGAGGAGGGCGATGGAAGCTCTTCTCTTTCCATCCACACCTGAAGAAATGCCCACCCACCCAGCAGGTGTACCCCACTCAGCCCCAGAACACCGTGGTCAAAGCCTGCAGCAGCAGGTCTGGGGAGTCTGAGATTCCTGGCTGGACACAGGCGTTGTTGGGGACGTGAATTCCTCCCCAGCACACTGTGCTTTGTGGCCTGGAAGGCTGAGCCACGGCATTGTCCCTGCTGGGAAGGGGACTCTCAGGCTGTGAATACCCCAGCTCCCAAGAACTCTCAACCCTTTGTGTCCTGCGCTATGGTCTGATCTTTCCAACCTCTGTAGGGATCTCCTGAATTAAGGAGGGGGGAAGGGACAGCGAGGCAGGGGTGAGAAAGTCGCAGGCCTGCTGAGGTCCGCCTCCCTGGGTGGGGGAGGGGATTGGAAGCTGACCCTGGCTTCCCTGGATCACGGTCGGCGGGCCAGCGGTGCGGGTGAATCCAGCGCAGGCTTCCTGGCCTGGACATGGCAGGCAAAGCATGAAGTTCCAGGGCTGAAGCGGGTTTCGTTCCTGCTGGGGGTGGCATGGGATGGGTGTCCTCCTTCATCCAGACCAAAATGTTATGCTAGGCAACACTGCCCACCAAGGCACGCAAGGACACACCAGGCCTCTGATGCGCTGGGTGCGCGGAGCCCAAGGGCTGAGTTTGAGCTCTGCCGTAATAAAAACGCTGCTGCCAGTGAATCTGAGAGGTGGGAGGGAGCAGGCTTCCTCCTGGGGGCCGTCCGGCTGGCCTGTTTTCAGCTGGTTGGTCCTCGGTCTTCCACCCAGGACAATATGTGGCTATGAAGCCCCGCTAAAAATCAGTGTGTACCGGTGTTGTCCTCCCTCTAACGTCAGTATCGTAAATCTTCCCTGATGTCTTAAAAACAGTATTTTTCTAAAACCGATATTTTTAGGAGTGCTTAAAGATGACAAATAAGCAGTTTATCTTTTTGCTTGGCCACTTTTTTGCATGTGCCTGAAAAGCTTCAACAAATGGCGCATTTTAAAACAGTACATACCAACTTATTTTCATTAAAGTTTGTATTTAAGAATTATTTCTTGGAGATGCTTTTCTTTTGCCCATATCTCCCTCCCCTTTTTTTGGCTACTTGAATGGCAGATTTGCAAGTACAATTTCATCTGCACAGAGGAACAATAGCTTTCAGTAGCACAAAGGACTTCTCCCACCCTGAATTCAGACCGCAATGCCTCTTGCTCTGATAATAGCTTCTGAAAAGATTTTGTAATGCAGAGAATTAATACATGATTATTTCCGCCTGACTTCTCTCATTTATTAGAATTCTGTGGCAAATTCCAAATTAAAAATAGTTCACTTAACAGCTTTAAAAAATACTTTTAAAATATTGTAAAACACCCTTCCCCCAGATTTTTAAATATGGTCACTTGTCCTGGCCAAAAAATTGTGACCAGCTTTAAAGTAATAGTTACCATATTTTAATAAATATATTTTAATACTTTTAGAATTAAATTTCCAAATAATTCTAAGATGCTCACATAGCAAACCAAAGGCAAACTCGTTATAGTAACTCATTAGTTGTCTCTAAAACTAATTTCTGAATTTACAGGGGGAAAGGTCTTTGTAAGTGGAGCAGTACCCATCCTCACGGGGCATGACCCTCGCCCAGGAGTGAAGGGGTACCTCTTCCCTCCTATTTTCAGTCAAGGGTTCTGCTACCCTTAAAAAACATGCAGACAAACATAGGCTCATGCTGGTTGCAAATCAAATTCCATAAAAATGACACAAACAAATGCAGCAATAATACTAGAAGTTTAATACTGATAAAATTGAACACGTGTGTCCGTACCTGTTTTTAGCACAAGCATTTTTTTAAATTGCAGCTCAGTGACTCAGATAACGGCCTTGGGAACTGGTTACGTTACATAGCCTTGCAAAAATGCTAGACTTTGCTATTTATCAACAAATATCTACCATAAAGTTCTGCATTGTGGCTGTCCTTCTCATAACAGAGTCTGGGTATGGAATGTTCCTTTTCTTTTCTTTTAACCTCCCGCTTGGACAGGGGAAGTTCTGAGGGCCCTGGCCAGATAGGGCTCAGAGGAGCCTGTTCCTGAGTCAGGCACCTTGGCTTGTCAGCACAGACTAGAATACCAAGCCAGTCAGGGCCGAGCCTGCAGACTCTGATTTCTAAGAGCAGTTCCACCAATTGCCGCTATGCCAACACACTTATTTTGAATCACAACTTTTGCAGTACTACATATTCTACATCTGAGGAGTTGCAGGTGGAGGTGGGAGAGGAAATGTGCGCTGCTGTACTTCACCTCTCAAGATGCATCTAAGCGGATGCAGTCGGCTTGATTATTCATTCTCGACTGCTTAAAAAACCCTTGCAGGGTTCCTGCCTGGACAGCTCTGTGCCGAAGTGCTGGTGAGTGTGCCTCCTACACGGACGCTCGCCACCCAGCCTTGTGACCCGCTTCTGAGGACTGCCGCTTCCCCACCCTCTCCTCTCCTCTGCTCCGAACTTCAGAAAGAGCGCTGCTCCGTACGGAAGGAGGTGTTCTGCTTTTAAAAGATGGCTGACTGTAAATGTCAAAGTCATAAATATTTAAACATCGTTTTCTTTCCATTTCAAGTCAAGACTGATAAGATGCTTCTAATTAGTCTGGGCTCTCTTCCGGCCCAGCCCCAGGAAAGCACCTGTGGTCCCCACCAGCCGCTCAGTCTGGGGAGCAGGAGCAGGGGGAAGCTCTCGGGCCACACGGGGTCGGGTGGGCACTGGGACGCAGACTCGCTTAGAAACGCCTTTCTCAGAGCTCCCCGGTCGCCAGGGCTTTAAGTATGGTTTTAACTCTACAAAGAGCAGTGAAGTAAAGTAATTGTAAAGTTATTTAAACTCAAACACGATACCCAGAAAGGGCGTTCGCTCTGCCATTTAAATTTTCTTTATTTTCGTTTTTTCCGGGATTCTTAAAGCAGGACTTGCAGCCCAGTTTCCGCGGCCATCCACCCTCCCGCCCAACGCTAGGTGGGGCATGTGGGCTGCTGGGGGGCAGGAGGAGTGACTTTTGGGGTTCCACCCCAGCGGCCCCTGGGGTCAAACCCTCAAGGTCAGGCTCGGCTACCCGCAGCGGCCCCTCTGGTGACCACTGCCCTCTCCGCGGGCCGCAGGAAGGGGCGCCTGGAGTCTGGAGAGGGGACGCTGGTGCCCAGGCGGGGGACACGGCCACCCCATCCCTGGGGCAGCGCAGGCCCAGGCAGAGGGACCCGGAGCTGCGTGACTCGGGGAGGTGGGGCCCCTCCCCTGCCCAGAGCCTGAGACCCAGCAGGGCCCAGGGAGGGGGACCCCAGACCTTCCCCGTCTCTCCTTGACATTTGTCTTTGACCTCTGAGTAAATTCCAGGCCTTCCGCGCCGTCCCGCTTCCTGCTGGGGCCGCGGGAGCCCGCAGCAACCCTGCACCCCGAGGGAGGAAGGGGCTGGCGGAGGGGCCGGCGGTCCCGGGGC